GTAATCATAGATAAAATAAGTTCTCACTAAATAAATGGAAGTTTCCCTTTGCCTCATACTAACGGCCATTTGCAATCTTGTGTATCAGTCATATTTATTGCCCTCACCAAATCTTTCTTTTTACCATTGCTCAGGCCTTTTCAAACTGTATTCATTCTTCATAGTCTGATTCCACTTCTGCCTCTTCCTTGAAGTTCCCTTGACCTCTTCAAAACAGAATGTCTCCTTCCTCCTTTCACAGGGAGCCCTTGTTATCTGCTGTACTTGGGCACTTATCCTCTAATATCTAGTGCCATCATGAGTGCTGCTAGTGTGTACTGCTATCTGTCTGGCTTTTCATGTGAGCACATCCTGCTCCCCAAATAGATTTTGTGTTCTTTCTGTAGAACAAGTACTGTAATTTCGTGTTATGCAACTCAGTGGAAATTCATTGAAACTTTGGGCTATCCTCCTGCATCCAAGAAGTGGAGATTCCTTGTTGTGTGAATTCAAATGTCCAAGGAAGAATGCAAATGTGGGTGTGTACCTGAGAATGTGAAGTGAAACTTGGCTTTGTTGGTACTTTCCAATTGCCTGGAAAAGAGGGTGTAATCTCATGTGCTGTTTCATATTCAGGACATGAAGTGATCTTTCCTAATAGGCAGCATAGGCAGTGTCACAACCCCACAACATTTTTTTTTCACCTTTTCTCTCTCCTGTCTTTTTTACTTACCAGCCAACTCTTCATTTTCTCACAGAACTATATATATTTTTTCTGATGCATAAAGTTCATTTTGTTTTCTTGGGGCAACAATCAGAAGTCTCTCAAGACTTGTGCATCTCTGAACTTTACTCAACTCTACAGGCTTTTTTATTATCTCTTGTGTAGACCAACTTCTGCTTTTTCTAGCTGTACAATGAAGCAAGGGGTCAAAGCCCTGAGTTTAAAATCCTTGTGTACAGGGTCCACAGAAAGACAGCCCTGACCCATATCCCTGTATCAGAACAAGCACTAACTTGTTGATCAATCAATAAACCCCTGGATCAATAAAATGTGTCCAAGTAGAGTATTTTACTCTTTGTGTTTCAGAGGTAATAATTTGGATGGGGCTATTTCTTGAAGGAATACGCTAGACACATACAAGTGGCTGCCGCACCATACTTGTGCACAGAAGCAAACAGTTTACAAGCCCTTTCCCATATCTTATCTTATTTGAGCTTCATTCAAGTGACACAGGTAAGACAAGTACTATTGTTATATAACTTACACAGGATGACTTTAATGTGCTCTTGGAAACTAAATGACTTGTGCAAGATTCCCAGATAAGTACCAAATCCACCTTCCAGTGCCCAAGAAAATCCATCTTTCAAAATGTTCCTAAAATCCCTCCCACCGGCTTCTCAAAGTTGATGACTGCTCTCCTATTTGGCCTCTCTAGAAAATTCTAGGGAGGCAGGAACGAGGGGGAAGGAAGGTGAAATAGAGAAAGAGGGAGAGGAACCAAAGGAACAAGTTACTGAGCTGGTCACATCCTTGAGAAAAGCTCAAAGTACCACAGGATAATTTCAGAGAGGCTGATTGAAGCTATGGTGTGTCCAAGGGACAGGGGAGGAAAAGGAGTAAAAATTTATTCATGGCTTCCATTGCCTATGATCAAAGTTCAGGTCCTGGGTCATTAACTCGCCAACACATACTGCTGTACACTGAGAAGGAGCTTCTGGATAGCACAGAAGCCCTGAGGTAGGAGTCAAGGCACTATCAGGTCATACAGGATGGAGTGACATTGAGAAACAAGGAGGGGGTCTGGCTGGCTTGGAAGGCTAGGTTCTACCATGACATGACCTTTTGCCACAGAGATTGGGACACGGCTTAACAAACTCATCTCTCTGGCCTATGAGAATGTGGTTGGTCCAAAGCAACTTTCAGAAGGTCACAAGTATCACTGAACAACTGAGTACGCAGACTAGAATGGGGAAAGAGACATCTACTCCTCAATAAAGACTCACTTAAATGATGCCGACTCACTTAAATGATGCCTCCTCACCACCCACAAAATTGACCAATCCCTTCTTTATGCCACACTATTCTTCACATGAGTCTAACATGGATATATAAATATTCAACACAATTACACAGACTTTTCTCCTCATAGAGAAGATTTTTTGAGGTTAGAGTAATGTTGATTCATAAATTCATAGTTTATTGGGTAGCTACTATGTGGCGGGAAACATTGGTTAAGTGCTGGGGATACAACCATTGATAAAAATAGATTTTTAACTTTTGAAGTTTACATTTGTGTGTGGGGGGGGGGAGGAAGGGAGAGAGAATAAATAGTAAAATATGAATTGTGTTGATGTATGCTTTGGGGAGTGAGAGTTGTAGATCAACTAAGGTAGAAGGGAAGGCTTCTCAAAGAAAGTGACATTAAAGAGAAGGCATAGATATTTGAAGGAAAAGAGTTCCAGGGACAGAGAAAACCAAAAGCTGTAAGGCATGGAATGATGTGCTCCAAGAAGGATGGAGAGTCCAGCCTGACCACAGCAGAATAAGGGAGAGGAAAGAGCAGATGAGGTTCAGAGAGTTAATACGGAGTCAAATTTCTGAGAGCACTGTAATGACTTTGGCTTCCCTTTGGGGAAGGATGGAGAAGAACAAGCTCTTAAAGTGCTAAAGTGATCTTGAATTTCAACAGGATTACTCTGGCTGAGAATAGACTGTGGAGAGAGGGAGGTGGAAACTGGAAGTTAGGAGGTTAGGTGAGAAATGCTGGTTGTTTGGATAGGATGGTAACAAAGAGGTGGTGAGAGATGGTGAGATTGTGGTAATGATACTGACAGGACTTGTAATGGATTAGAAAGAAAGTATGAAAGGAAGAGAGAAGGAAAAAATGACACTCCACATTTTTGGTCTGAGTCAAGACTACAAGGACGGAGAGATTTATCGAAGAAGATTTGCAGCGTGGCCACGAGGTGGTTTTTATAGACATTCAGGTGGAGTTGTTGAGTAAACAGTGGATTTAAGAGTCTGAAGTTCAGGGAAAAGTTCATGGCTAGAGATATAAATGTAGGAGCTATTAGTATGACATTGAAAATCATGAAGAAAGCCTTGAAATCCTTGAGATAGGGGTAAGAACAGCAATTGAATGAGTACAGTTAGAAAAGTGAGGAGGACAAAAGACTGAGTCCAACTTTTAAGGGTTAGGAAGATGAGGAGTAACCAGAAAGGAGATGGAACAGAAGGCAGGAGAAAAACCAAGAGGGTGGTTTTTGGAAGCTAAGACAAGGATGTGTTAAGAGATAGGAACTGATAACTAGACTAAAAGCTACTGATAGAGGTGTTGAGAACTGTTATACACTGATTTGTTTGTGTCCTCCCAAGATTCATATGTGGAAAGCCTAGCCCCCAGTGTAATGGTATGTGGAGATGGAATACCTGGGAGGTAATTACCTTATGAAGGTAGAGCCCTCATGGAACAGGATTAATGCCTTTATAAGAAGATAGAAAAGGAGCTTGCTTCCTCTCTGTTCTCCATGATGGGAGGATACAAGGAGAAGATAGCCATCCATGAACCAGGAAGAGGGCCCTTGCCAGATGCTGAATATGCCAGCACCTTGATTATGGACTTTCCAGCTTCCAGAAGTGTGAGAAATAAATATCTGTTGTTCATGCCACCTAGTCTAAGCAGACCGCTCTAAGACAAGAATTAAACTTTGTGTTTAGCAGCTTGGAGATTACTGGTGACCTTGAACAGTTTCAGAGTAGTGCAGGGAGCCAAATGCTCAAGTGAAAGTGCCAAAGAGAATGGTGAGGAGAGAATTTAGAGGCAGCAGTATAGACCATTCTTCAGACCATTTTAAAGGGAAGGAATGAAAAGATGGTAACTGGAGGGAGAGGAAGAGTAACAAACTGTGTGTGTGTGTGTGTGTGTGTGTGTGTCTGTCTGTCTGTGTGGACACCTCCCCTCCGCTCCCTCCCTCCCTACACATTGGAAAGGACTAGTAGAAATTGTGGTAGAATCAGGCAGAAAATGAATGATTCTGAGAAAACTGAACAAAGTACCCCCTGGAAGCAGGTGTACACAGGTCACTGCACTAACCCACACCAATGCATGGTGGGAGTGTAAGAACCTGCTTTAGGCCTCACAGTTCTATTGCCTTAAAGATTTAGATTCAAAAGACAGAAATAATGAGTCTGGCAAACATAGTGGAGGTTGTCTCATGATCTGCCAAGTCAAAATGTGGTCCAGCAGCATTTTCAGAGAGGTTAGTTGAGAAGGGTAGAATTACAGAATGCTAGAGTTGCTTACCATCATCATTATTACCACCATCAAACAGCAATTAATAATCATAGCAATTAAGTGCCTACTTTCTGTGCCACCTCATAAATCAAAATAAAAGAAACTGGTTTGAGAAGCAATAGTATAATAAGCCAGAAGGTCAAAGATGGGGGAAAGACAGGCTTGCAGCAGAGGCAGAAATCTCTTGCCAAACCATCTTTTGTCCCAGTTCCTGATTTTCACCCTTCTCTCCAATCGCTGGAGTGAATGATCCTTTTCCTTTTCCTTCTGTCTCCTTTGCCTTTGCGCCCCCTACTTCTTCTTTTGCTGTCTTCCTTCAGCGCAGGGCCGGTTCCCAAGGTTCCCAAGCTCAGCCTCAGTGCCCACCAGCCTCCCCGTCGCCTCCCAGTGCTTGGAAAGTGGACTAGAACCCTGAAACTACAGTGGGGCAGGAACCGGCGTTCTGAGCATGTGCAAGCAAACTTGGGGGCTGAGGCAGATTTTTGGGGGCCGGTACCAAGTCACTGTCCTAAGCTCAAAGCGAGAGATCGGCGAGCGCTAGGGTTGGCAGCACTCCCGCGAGCTGCGGCCCTGCGCCCTGGGCGCAGCAGCTGCGCCCTGCCCTCCGGGCGTGGGCGAGCTGGCCGCGTGTGCCTAGCTGCTTGACGCGAAGGCGAGCCAATCAGGGCGAGCGGCCCCGGCTGCCATGTGACAGGCGAGGCGGCCCCTTTCCCAGCGCGGCCAGAGGGAGGAGAGAACCGGGGCTCGCCGCGAGCCTTCGAGAGCAGCGGCCGCAAAGCAGGCGGCAGCAACGGCTGGCGGGAGCCGCGGCTGCAGTCTCGGGGCCAATCCGGCGCTCATCCCTGAGCGCCCTGCGCTAAGGAAAGCTCGGTGGGTCGCGGGAGCCGCAGGACAGGGGTGGACAAAGCAAGATGGCAGGAATCTTAGCCTGGTTCTGGAACGAGAGGTTCTGGCTCCCACACAATGTCACCTGGGCGGACCTGAAGAACACGGAGGAAGCCACCTTTCCACAGGCTGAGGACCTCTATCTCGCCTTCCCACTGGCCTTCTGCATCTTCATGGTGCGGCTTATCTTTGAGAGGTAAGAAGGGCAGGAGCACCTCCTCCCCTCCCCCTGCACGCGCGCGCGCGTAGACACACACACAAACACACACACTCTCTCTTTCTCACACACACACTCGCGCGCACACGCACACTCGCGTGCTCCGTGGCGCACGGCCCCGTGCCCCGCCGTTCGTTCCCACACCGCCCAACCTTTGTGTTCCGGGAGGGGTTGCTGACCTCTCTGCCTCACTTGCTTTCTGGGAGCCTGAGAAGGTCTGGCTTGCCTACGGATTTCCTCCAGGGCGCCGGAGAGGGCTGCGGGGCATTAGGGTCGCCTCCCGCACTCCTCTCTAGCTGTCTCTCTCCTCCTGGCGGCGAGGGCAGCTGAAGGAACAAAGGTGAGAGGCTGCTGGCCTCGGGACGCGCCGCACTCCGCGAGGCTTGGCCCTCTCGATCCGCGTTGCCAGGCTGGGCTTCCCTGCCAAAGCTCAGCTCCATCCACCTGACAGCCAGGAACGTTCGGGACGCGCGGCCCAGAGCGAGGAGGAACCGCGCACACTTCCAGATCTACACTCCGGCTACTGATTGTAGGGAATATGCTTCAGAAGTATTCTCCAGGGTTGCCTTGGCTTTTGGTCGCTTTTTGGTTTCCATGTGTGATACTTAACATCAGGCCCTCAGTCTTTGGAAATAGGTGACAATAACATTCCATGTTATTAGCAGTTTCCTTATAAGAGGCTAGGACAGTACAGGTGCATAGCCTGCAAAATGACCATATGAAATTGACATCCGTGGCCTGTTAATAATCATGAACTTCTTCTTGGCACCAGAACACACTTAAAATAATTTAAAGAATTGTCATATAAGTGTTGGTATAATTCTTCAATTTGGTTGGCTATCTCCATCGTATCACGAACAAACTTGTGTTACTCTCATTGAAATCAGCCTTAGTTAATAGGTTAGATCTTGCCTGCTGTGCATTCTCTGGGTGTTATTGAAACAAAACCTAGCCAGAGGCCCACACTTCTGTCTTTTTCATAACTGAAAACATCACCTTCCCCTTTTTTTCCTCTTTTCCCATTCATAAAGGAAACCATGAATTTCTTAGATACAAATTCTCACTTCCAGGTTTAGAATAGTTCAGTGGTAGAGTGCTTTTGCCTTGTATTTGAGAGACCCTGAGTTTGATCACAGCACCTTAAAAACGAAATAAACCCCACAAATTTCCACTTCCATGTCACCTCTCTACCCTGCCCCCAACTCACCTTGGTTTTGTTTCTTAAGCTTTTTTTTTTTTTTGGTATCCTGTTTGCCTGAAACCACTACTGCAGACTGCAGAATATATCAATTGTATCATTTGTTGCTGGAAATAGCAACAAAGCTTCATGGGGAAAAAAAGTATCTTTTGTTCAAGGAAGATGTATTTTTCAACGGGCAGTATTGTTGTCAGAACTATCAGCTTTTCCCATGCTGAAATGGACATGCACAAAGGGAACAGTTTGAAGACCCTCCATATTAAAATGATTGGAATTTGATACAAACTTGTCATTGATCCTATCCAGTACTGAGATTTATAGGGGAAAAGGGGGTGTATTTGCAGGTTAAGAGTTGTTCCTACAGCTTATGTTTACTTGAAGAAAATAGGAAGTCATGTCTAATCTTGCAGTCTCTCCAAAGACAAGCAGATTCTCAGGACCAGCAGGTTGTTTGGTGTTGGCACATTGTAAGGGCTTCATACACAATTGCTGAATGACATCTGATAATTTTTACCTGATAAATTCTGGTTGGATTAATTTTTAGGTAGTAAAGCATCTGAAAGAAATCTTCAGTTTTATGTTTGGAAGAACAAAAGCATGGCAGCTGGTGAACTGTATGCAGAGTGCTGCATTTTCCTGACATTCTTTTTCCATGGTGTAGTTCTAGGCTGTTCATTAAGTTGGAAAATATTTTTAGAGAATGGAGATTGCTTTGTATTTATATTCTATCTTTAAACAAAGAAACAAACACTAATGCTATAGTTGAAGCCTGGAAATTCTTTTTTTAAAATTTATTTTAATTTTTTTTTGTGTGGTTAGACACAATACCTTTGTTTTTATTTATTTATTTATTTTTATGTGGTGCTGAGGATCGAACCCAGGGACTAGGTGAGCACTCTACTTCTGGGCTACAACCCCAGCCCCCCTGGAAGTTCATTTTCCCTCTTCCTAAACCTTTTTATCTGCCTTTGCACAACCCCATGAATCGACTTAGAGTTTACACAGGGGTCAGCTGCTTTCCAAACATCAGTCATAGCAGATGTCCTCATGTTGGTATGTAGACAGTTGGTCATTTCCTTTGGGCCATTGATCCAAATAAAAGTGGTTTAATGTGGTTTAATGGCCTGTATGGGAAGTGAAAGTTTATGATTCATGTTCAGAATAATAATCCAGTATGGCACATGTACCATAGGATGCAACTGACTTCTGGAGGAGTGGCTACTTTATTTCTTTCTATAGTTGTCTTTTTTTTTTCTTTTCTTTCTTTTTCTTTCTTTTTTTCTTGTTGTTAACTAGGGATTTAACCCAGGGGTTCTTTACTATGGACCTACATCCCTAGCCCTTTTTATTTTTTGAGACAGGGTCTCACTAAGTTGCTCAGGGCCTCACTCAGTTACTGAGGCTGGCCTTGAACTTGTGATCCTACTGTCTCAGCCTCCCGAGTTACTGGGATTACAGACATGCACCACCACACCGGGCTCTTCCTATAGTTATAACAGACCTATCTTTAATTATTCAGTCACTTTTTCTCTGAAAAAAAACCCTCAGGGTATAGTTGCATCTGAATTAAAAATTCTGCATGTTTCTATTCTTCTCAAATCCAAATGACACATTCTGTGATCCAACCAATGGTGTTCATCCCAGTAGTGTCCATCAAGAGCTTGACTAAGTTTTGCTGAGTCAGCCAATATTGTTATCACTAATAGAGCCCACTTAAAGTACCCTTTTAACATGTTGTGCATAAATATTTTGCAGTATTCTAAATGGTCAGCATTATTTAAGGAAGCCTGTTGTGAATTCCTTTGTAAGATGAAATGCTTTTGTAATAGGAATAATTCCTTCCTGATTCTATTCTGCTTATGCTTTTACTGTTTTATTTTATTTCAAAGCTGAGAACCTATTTAGGAAATACTTGATCATTTAAGTTTCTTCTTTCCAATTAAATGAGGTCAGTAATATCCTTGTTAAGGCTAAAATTATGGATTTGAATACCTTCTTAGTCTTATGTATTTGTCTTTATAAAGAAAAACACTCATGAATTAATTGAATTGGGCTTTGCCAAGCTGAACAGCTTTTTTTGTTTTCACTCCCATGTTGGGGTATGGACAGTGGAGACACTAGTGGCCAGCACATGCCACTTTGCACAGCATATGGACAGCAATATGGGAGCCCAGCATGACTGGTTAAAAATGGAGCAGCCTAAGGTCAATGACTTTTGGATGAGTCTATGAATACCCCAGATCTTGGTGGTTTTTAGCATAGCCTTTATACTATGCTCAACTCTGGGCAAGGACCAAAAGGGCCAATTTAGATACTACCAGATTGACAGAGCAAAATATTTCTTGTTTAAAAAAAGAAAAAAAAAAGAATGGCTTTTCTTAGAATGGAAATCATAGTGTATGCCATTTAATTATGTTATTGAGTTGATGACAGAGAACAAAATATTATTTACTATTGTAGCATTATTATGTATTTGATTATTTTTCTTGATATCATGCTTGTTTAAGCTCAATAAGCCATTCTTAGGAATTATTAATAAATGCTTCTTCCAACTCCACTTTGTTTTCAAAAATGTGTTTTGTTATGCTATTCCTAAATGTGGGATTAAAGTTCTGCTGATTCCCTGTTTGGAAACAAATTATTTGTGTCACTGTTGTAAAAGGTAACTTTAATGCATTTTCTTCTTTGTGAGCTTGGGAGGGAGAGATGCAGAAAGTATTGATAGGGAGTCAGAACAACCAAGTTGTAGTCAAAACTTACCTCATTCTGGGGCAGCCTCCTAATTTATCTCTGCTTATTTTCTCATGTACACAATGAAACAAATGACCACTGTAATCTAAGGTTGCTTTCCCTCCCGATTCCCTGAATCCTGTGAGTCCTCTGTATTTGAAGCTTACTAATTATTATCTCATGAGACTTTTGTGGCAGGCTAAATGTCATGTTTTAGCAGGCAGAAATAAATCCCTTCAGAATAGTTTTTTTTTAAAAAATAGAAATACTCTAGGCAATGGCTTAGTTTTTAGTATTTTAGTATTTTTGAGTAAACATAATCATTTGGGATGATGTCATTTTTGCTTTGAAAAGCTACAGTATTTTGGAAAACCAACAAAAAAGATTCATCAAAGAAACAATTACTTCCTTTTGTCCTACCTCTTTATATGAAACCCAGAGCAAAACTGACACCTGACTGGGAAAGAAATGAGTAGTTCATTCCTGACAGGTGACTGTTGGAATGCCAAGCTATGTGAGGAGCGTCACCCCTCTTGTGGTTGACTCCATGGGCTGTCCAGCCATTCAGCCCCCAATGATCTGCTGTCCCCCAAATTTCAAGGAACAGCACCGTCTTATTGTGGGACAGGGAATGTCTGGCCAGAGAGCTTTGTCTCATCATTTACCTTACCAGCAGCCTTGGGTAAGGTACTCTGGGACAGTTGAGAGGAAGGGGAAGGGAGAAAAGGTGGGAGGGAAAGAGGAGGGGAAGGGAATGTGTTGGGGGAGAGGAGTGAGTAAATGACTGCCAGGAGAAAGTGGGATACGAGGTAAAGTTCATTACTGAAGCGTGTTCCTATAATGTGCCCTGTAATGAGAAGACTGATATCTTCAGGTGTATTTCAAGAATTTTTGATAACAGCTTGTTTACATTATTTTCTCATGTAGTCATTGCTGTATATGAAATTCTGTAAATATATCATTTTAAATTTTTCCCCATTTTTATTGGTGCATTAATTTAATTGTACATTATGGTGGAATTCATTGTTACATATTCATACATACACACAAT